TTTTTAGTACCTGTAACTTCCAAAACATATTTTCGTGATACATAAGTGTAACAGGGTCGATGCGTGCTTTGTCGTGACGAAATTGAGACGAATTAATCGGTAGATAATTGCAATTATTTCATGATATTCTTCGAAAGTTTTTGTTGATATTATCTAGAAGAAACAAATTGGTTTCGAAAAAATGTTTTATTGTGTTAAACTTTTACCTTCGATATGACACTGATTAAACATAACGTTGTATATAAATTTTTATCGAACGCTTCGTAGTCGTTTGATATTTTATTTTGTATCAATTGTTTAACTATAATTTTAAATACCTGAATTAATGAGTTCAAATTGATCTCAAAATTATCATTAAACATGTTCCAAAATAGATAAGCAAATGTGCGTAAGTTAGAATTTGTTCTTTCTAACTGGTTATTTATTAAGCTTAAGTCTAACGCTCGCAACCATAGAGATAAACATCTATTATATGTTGGTGTTTTATTATAATAAGTTCCTTTATTCCATAATCCAGTAATAAAAGTTTGACTGTTCATTCCATAAATTCTTTCTAAAATCAAAAGTGTTTCCATATGTAAGGCAGGTCCATTACAGCAGATGGCCTGAAGTTCTTCTGAGGTTTGACATTCAGTATGATAGTCATAGGTTTGCGGTGGTGGTTGAACACACTTGACAATAGGTGATATTCCATTTTCATATCTTAATTTCATTGCTTTTAGAAAACAATCGTATGTTTTCTCAAGGCTATATGTACTCTTTTTTTCATTGCAATATGCTGTGCCTAACAGTTCCATTGCTTCAATATAATCCATCTTTGAACATAAATTAGGGTCGGCAGTCAGATAATCAATAATTAATGTATGTCGTTCAAGAGCCGCAAGCATCAGCGGAGTATTTCTGTACATGTTTCTGATGTTCGTTGATGCGCCATTGTTAACGAGTAATTGTGCAATGTCCAAATAATTCTTTTGACAAGCATAATGTAATGCTGTGTAACCACATTCATCTTGGATATTTATCGTCGCACCCATCTCTAGTAAATAACTTACAATATTTGATGAGCCAATGTAAGCGCCCAGCATTAAACACGAATATGAATCCGAGTTCATAAAGTTTATATCTGCTCCATTTTCAATCAAATGTTTGACTATATCAAATCTGTTAATACCACACGCTAATCTCAGAGCTGTTGATTTATGCTTTGTGTTATGATGTATGTTTGCACCATACTGAATTAGTAACTTTACAATATTTAAATGACCTCCTTCCGTTGCCAGGTATAGTGCTGTTGATCCGTTTACGCAATCATATTTATTGGAATTCTTGAAATATTCTATCTCAATATTGATATTAAATTTATTCAACAACAGTCGAACAACATTGATACAACCTGTTTTAGCTGCTAAAGTGAGTATGGTGTACTGACATC